CTCCAACAGTTCCATGTGCTTCTCATGTCAGGCACACCAGAACTGTGTGCAGTAAGAGAAGCCACGTGGTGAGCACAGACTTGGTGGCCCCAACCTGAACTGCCTCAAGTAGTCACAGCTATCGGAAACACAACCATGTCCTCACACATCCCTCCTGGGGACCCATCTGCTCCCGGGGTGACATGGTCCTGGGGCTCAGCCAGGTGCCAGCACAGCAGCTCCCCACAGCTTCTCCTCTCAGCCAGGGCCAGCACAATGCAGAGACTCACCTAAACCCAGTCTCACCACACAGCTCTCCAGCCCTGAAGCCCTGCAGAGTCAGAGGAGACGCCTCTCATCTTACTCTGGCCCGGCCTGACTCCCCACAAACTCAGCAGGTTCGGTTCACTCTGCTTTTGGGAGAGACCCAAAGCTCAGCTCCCACCCCTTCCCACCTCATGGTGGGTGAGCAGGATGTGGCTGCTCCTCCCCCAGGCAAGAGCCTGGCACAAACTGGAGGGCTGTGAGCAGGAAACCTGCAGAGCAGGTAAAACAGGAACGGGGAGGGATGGAGAGGGCTGGGCAGGGAAAGCTCTTTTCCTGCTGTATGGCCCCACTGGTTAACCAACTCACCCTGAGGTGCTGGGAGCAGTGTGGGGAGGTGGCACCAGGCTTAGAGATGAGCATGGCCATGGCTGGATCTGGGATTGCTGTGAAGGAAGGGGCTGCCCATGGCACAAACTCATGGCCTGGGGTGAGCCAGGCTGGCTGCAGGACACTGCACCACTCCAGAACCACAGAATCATTAAGGCTGGAAAAGACCTCTAAGATGATGATGGACCCTGCCCTGGCTGCAGGATGCCCCTGAGACCCCCCCGTGGGTGTGCAGACTGTGTGAGTGCTGCCTGACTGCACCCGTGTGTCCCTCACTCCTTAGGTCTGGGAGGCAGAGATGGGACTGATCCTCAGCTGACTCACCTGCTCCCCAGACCTGGTTTCTGTCCCTCCTTGCCCTGCCTTTCCCCACCCTCACTTCATTCATTTTAGGTCTTAAACCACTCACATGGGTGTGTCGGTCGCTGTCCCAGCCCTGCTGTCACACCTGCTCCAGCCATTGCCCAACCACCAGCTCAGCATCCAGCACAGGGCAGGATGAGGCTCTTAAAGAACCAAACCATCACACTGCACCCTGAGCAGGGTCACCCCAGAGCCTGACTTGCTCCAGGGACCAGGTCAGCATCCTGTCCAGAGAAGGGCAACAAAGCTGGTGAAGGGTCTGGAGACTAAGTCATATGAGGAGAGGCTGAGGGAGCTGGGTGTGTTGAGGCTAGAGATAAGGATGCTCAAGGTGGACCTTATCCCTCTCTACAATTCCCTGACAGGAGGTTGGAGCCAGGTGGGGTCAGTCTCTTCTTCCAGGCAACAAGTGACAGGACGAGAGGACATACATAGTCTCAAGCTGCACCAGGAGAGATTTAGGTTGGACATCAGGAAGAATTTCTTCCCAGAAAGGGTGATCAGACACTGGAATGTGCTGCTCAGGGAGATGGTGGAGTCACCACCCCTGGAAGTGTTTAGGGAGAGATTGGACATGGCACTAGGTGCCATGGTCTGGTTGCCACGGTGGTGTTAGGTCATGGATTGGTCTTGATGACCTCAAAGATCTTTCCCAACCTGATTGATGCTGTGATCCTGTGACCCCTCTAACAGCAAGCAGTACCAGCAGCAGCTCTGCTCTGGGGTTTCCTTGGGCTGCACCTGCCCAAGTGCAGGTAGGAGACAAACCAAGGCCGAATTATCCCTTTGAGGGACAGTGCCCTGCACACCTGTACGTAATGTTGGAGCTATTGCAGCAAGAGTGAGGCCAAAAAGGAGCTGCCAGCCCTATGGCACTGGGTGATTTATTCCCCTGAGCAGCAGCCAAGGCCCAGGCCCTGCCCTCCCCAGGGCTCTGCAGCTGTGCCTGCCCACGCTGCCTGCAGCTTGGCTTTCCAGGAAGCCAAATGCTGCTCTAAATTCATCGAAAACAGAGCACTACCAAACTATCTTCCTCTGACAGAAGGAGGGCACCAAACCTCATGTTCTGCAACACACTGGGCTGCATCCCAGTGCTCCCAGACAGGGATATCCATCCCAGTGACACCCACATAGCTTTGCTGTGGAATCACAATTCCAGGGGAGCATCTGAGGGAGGGAGAGCACTGGCAGAGTAACAGTAGAGTAATTCACGTCAGCAAATTTTCCCCCCACACAAGTGTTTTGGCACAATTAAATCTGCCCTCTGGATTTTCCCATAAATTCTGATGAATTATTCCACTGGGAATTCATCTCAGCCCCAAATCTCTTTTCTCTGGGCACCCCATCAGGGTGGCCTTGGGAGATGAGAGATGTTAGGGTTTTTAAGTTCACATGGTTAACAGCTCTGGTAATATATGTTAGCTGCATCATGTTTGACTGCTTTTAAATCTCCAAGTTCCCAGGAACTGAGATCCCTCCCAAAACAGTGCCAGGAGCTTTATATCATCTCTTGGTGCAAGGAAGAGGCTGCCAACCCCAAACCTGAGTGATCCAGAAGCTTTGGATGCCAAGTGAAGGCATCAAAGGAATTATGTTCGTGTTTGAGTGAAATAAAGGCTTTTTTGCCTGCTGCTTCCCAGGTTTTTGAGAGGTTCTGGAGCAAGTCATCAAGGCTAGAAATTTTCTGTATTCAAGCAAATAAACAAGATAGCCACTCGTTCAACTGCCTTTGGGAGAAGGGACCACAAAGTGACAATATCATTACTGTGTCCAATGAAAGCTCAGACCACTGCAGTTAATATTAAATTTCTACTGCTTGGTCCTGGTTGGACTGAGGACTGAGGAGATCCACAAGGATACTGCAGGCATCCTCAGCCTGCAGTAATGACAGGTTAAATGCAACCACCACACACTCACAAAAACCCCAAACAGAACGAAATTCCTCTGTAGTAAGTGCACCAACACACCCACTACAAGAATCCGATGCCTTAGAGTCATTGCATTTCACAAGGATGTTATTTGGGAGAGGAATCCTTAACAAAGAGAAG